CAGTCCTACTATGATCCTACTGGTAGGTATTTCTTTCCAATCAATAAAACTTTTTTGCAGAAGATGAGAACTGTGAGTATACGCTCTTGAGAGTGGATTCTCCAGGATTAACATTGTTAACAACGTCATTGGTTTCATGGTTGTCATAAGCCAGGTTAGGTTGTGCTGCCTTCAGAAAGGGCAGTTTCCCTGTCACTTCGCTATTCTTCATGCTAATGAGTAGGATCAACCCATCTACCCCACTGACAACTAATCCTTCCTCCCCTTCCCCACAAATCAATTAATCCTTTCTTATAGTCATCAGCCAGATCAGCAGGCTGATTCAGTTCACTGCTCAGCCCCGCAGGCAGGGAGAAGGGAATGGGAGAATCCCCTCGTCCTTTGGCTGAAGCCAGCTGTGAAGAGCACGCAGAGGAGTGATGGAGGTGCTTCTGAGATGCAAGGGATGGCACAGGGTTGCTGAGCAGTGCAGTAAGTGGCTGCTGTTGGAGCAGATGGGCCAAGCCACGTGACAGCTATGGCACATGAATCCAGGTGGCTTTGCAAATGAGAGACTGAAATGCAGTGACTAACAAACAAATGGAATAAGCTTTCACATTAAAAGTAAGGCATAAGATACAAGGAGTGTATTGCATTTAGTAGGCTGGGTAAGATAATAGCTGAAAAACAGAAAGCATTTACAAACAGAATGAAAGACATGGGAGAATTTTCTTACCAAGACTTCTTCATGTGTGTCAAACATCTGGTCTTCAGAAACACCGAAACTCCAAACTAGACAAAGGTAATATGAGGAAGCACTTTGGTTTTGACCTTCTGGATTAATTCCTGACCCAAAACCATCTATTTCAATCCAATGCCACTAAACTATCCGGTGAGCTCTCAGGCTGTAAATGGATCAAAATGAATCTGAGATCTTATTATGTGGAAATGCTACCTCTGATACGATATCCCATTTTTCTTTTTAAATTGGCCCCTATTGCTTTAACATTACAAAGGCACCTTATTAAGTGGGAGATAGGTGAAAATCTGCCCTGGTAGGATTACTAATTATCCAAACTTTAAATATAACCCTGTTCTAACTTTATTGCTTCTGTACACTTTGGGCTTCTTTTGAAGGTGGCTCCCTTCTGAATACAGAATGTATTAAGTATTCTGCACTGTCAATTGCCATTTCTTAGAAAATGAGGTGTAAGTGAAGGTTTCCCTCTTCTATCATTTTTTTAAACAAACTTGACTTTCTTCTTGGCATTCTTCCTTTGTGGCAGGTAAGCTCCATTGTGGTCCCCTTCGGTTTGGGGACCACACTTGTCTTGGACCAGCGACTGAAGATGGGAACTCCACCAAAGTGTTAAATATCTAGTATAGTAATTAAACATACTCCCACCTGTCAGCTTCAGTAGTGTCTGATTATAAAGAAATTATTATTAGTTATATTAGTTATAATAATAAATATATATGCAATTATTTTAAAGTTCTGGAGACCTTTGCCCCTGTCCATCTAAGATTACTTCGTTCTCTGCATAACACAAAGGGTTAGTATGTTAGTATGATGCCAGATTCAGCTCATATTTTGTAGTGACGTAAATCCAGGATCACTTTACTGACACTGATAAAACAGATGGCTAAACCCAAGCTAGACAGAACTGTAATTATATCTGCAGTGTTAGAGGTGAAGGTATGTTATTAAAACATTTCCCTCTTCTCTTTGAATAATGTGTAGGTCTTGCAAAATGTAAGCACCATACTGACAATATCAAATGTCACTCTAGCTTCTGGATGGGAAAAAGTTTATGGTGCAAAAGGGAATATGCGCAGAACAACTATGAGAGCTCCTAATTAGCCATTATAGGATTCCATTAATCTCTTCAATCGACTAAAAGAATTATAGTCATTGAAGTCTATTTGTCTTAAGATGGAAAAAAGGCTTAACCAAAGCCTTTGGACTGACAGTAGTGCAAGGAAAAGCATATTCTCTGCATCTAGCTACACCTGTTGGTTTTCTTAGAGAAGGTCACAGCCATCTTCAGATAACATCAGAGCAGACATCATTCAAGAGTGCCGAGTATATTAGCCCATATTTTACCAGAGGTCCGGCAAGCTGCCTGTGGCTAAGCCTGCATGTACCCCAGGTAAAGTAACTTGTGTTCTGGGTGGGAGTTTGGAGTTGGAGGTCATGAATAGAAAAATACAGGCCCAAATTACTTCAACGCTTTTCTGTTCCATGGGTTAGTGTAATAGACTATATCTTACGTACAGCTCCTTCTTGTGGCGATCAGCAGGGGGCAAGCAGCCACGTCCTGCCCAGCTGCAGGATGCCTGTCCCCTGTGGGCTGCGCGTGGCCCTCAAGGGGTGGCCTCCGCCTGGCCCCCGCGCAGTAGCTTCCAGGTCTTGCGTGGTCAGCAGGACCACGTTATCCCAGCAGTTTGAAAGCTGGAAATCATAAGCGGTCTTTTGAGTTTCTAACATTTGTGGTTCTGCTTTTAATCTTCCAAATATGAAACGATTACATTTGCTTGAACATGGTTTTCCTGAGTTTATGGGCAGCTTCAGCAGCATAAGCTCCCTCTCACTCCGTGAGCTCATATGTCAACAGTATTGCCTATTTAATTTATTTAATGTTTAATTGTTGCCCATGTAATCAAATAGGGTGAGAAACTGCATTGGGTTAAGGTTTCTGGAGGGAACTGGAAGTGAAAATGCAGAAGAGAAAAAAGGGAGGAGAAACAATAGAGGATGGTGAACAACAGAGAAGTGAATTAGCAGTGGCTATAAAGGTGGAGACATACTGCCACCATGCAGTGATGATCATAAAAAGAGAACTAACCATATTTTGCCATGGATCTCTGGTGCAGACCCATCCTTGAAATTGGTGGGAATTCAATGGACCAGAGAGCATGTTATCTCTAATGTATTTTTTGGCTCACAGATCACAATTAAAATTAAATTCTGCCTTCTGCAAAATTAAATTGGACACACTGGTCTGCTGCATTGAATCCTTGATCTCGGTCGGGCTCAGTTGAGCTAGACTACTCAAGAAAAAAAACAAATGATAACTATGGAACTTTTCTTGTGAAAGTATGTGAAATTGCTATCGTAGCACAAGTTATTTTCAAGGAAATCTAGGATGTATGGGTTACTTTTCAGGAGAGGAAAGATTGTTTTACAGGCTCTCGCTATTGACTGCTGTTCCTATAGATCATTCCATTCAAGTGTCTTGGCTGCAAAAATATTAATACAAATGTTGTTATGAGATGATGATGTTCTCAATATTACATAGAATAAATGTTATCACTTAAATATTATAAAGTGCCAGCATTTCTGCATACTGCAGCTTTTTGCTAAGACGAGCATACACTTGTCAAATGTTTTGAATTCTGTATTATTCAGTAAATGAGCATGTGGTTAATTAAAGTAGCATTACTGTACTGGGAGGTGATCAGATTGCAAACATATCTTTAACAATTGGCTCTTGTAAATAAAATAGAAGAGAGCTGATTGAGATCTGAAAATGTCAATGGATGCAAAAAGCCACCTTAGAGCGTTACCAGATAAAAAAAGAGTAGAGAAGTAATGACATGGTCAATATTAACTGCCATCAAACGGAAAGAAATCAGATTGTCAGGGATCTATAAAATTCTTGCCAAAGTAGAACCTCATTTACACACACAGATCTTCATACCCTTTGCTAAGAAAAGCATATGTGACAGCTTAGAGGTTTTAGCTGCCAAAGATCTTTCACTCTGAATACAGTAAATGTCACATCTATTTATTTATCGTTAAATTTTGCTAAGTATCTGTAGAAATATTTGGATTTTTTCTATCACAATGTAGATGTTTAAAAGGAAAAGAATCCAGATTATAATGCAGCTGTAGTACCAAACCATATGGCTGCTAAATGGGAGCAAAAATACACCACTGAATTACTGGGAGTAAACATAAACTGGATGCGATCTTCGGAAGAATATTAAATGGAATATATAAATACCAGAGTATTGCCATAAAATCACGCAATCAGACAATAGTAGCCAACAGGCAATAGATTATTTCACATGCTGAAAGTAATCACAGTTGTATAGCAATTTACGTTTTCTAAATGCCAGACTCAAAATATTAACTAATGAATCTTGGCAAGCACAGTGTTTCTACCAACTGCAGCGGTGGTTGTAACAACATCTACGCCTTTTTTGAGAGAGAGAAAGAGAGAGAAATAAGGCAGCCATCCTACCCCCCAGCTTTATTAGAATCTGTCCGGAGTCCCAGGTGCTCGAAGCAGTCTTGTTTGTCTTTAATTCAATTCAAGCCTTTGACTTCTTTCTTTTAAGAAAATGTCTGTGGGTGATTTATTGGTATATTGGGTGGAATTTGCACTGTGCTGAGCAAGAACAAATGGTCCAGGGGAATACATATTCAATGTTATGAACAGTGTCTGGCATGAGAGAGAACTCAAATTAGTGTAGGTGTTGTGTTGCCTGTTCTTTTGCTCAGAGGCAGTTTCATGATAAGTCCATTTGGATTCTGCATCATTGTGTAAAAGGAAAAAGTTAATAACTTTCAGGAGAAAAGCCTGTGTCTGCTCAGACTGGTAAAAACTTACTGGGGGCAATTGTCAACTGTACTTTCATATTTTGGGTCTCTTCTGTTCTTTTTATACAATGTGGAAGCAGAGGAGGCCTCTTCATCCCGTCCACAGCCATCTTCAAACTGCAAACAAGAAATAAACAATCCTTGAACTTCAGTTGGACTTTGTAAATTATCATTGTGGGGAATAGACTCTCAGTATTCATAACTGCAGTGCTTAGAATTAGAAATGTAATATGAAGAGTTTACCTCAAAATTGGCCAGATACATCCAGATTTCTTATTATCACATATTGAACTAGCTGTGCCCCTGGGAACTCAGATCTAAGCGATACTGAGTGAAGACTTTCTCTCCTGAGTTTGTAGCTGAAGTTTTATGTATGAGACAAATAGCAACTCTGAATATCTCTCTCTTTCTACAGATGATATGGAAGCAATTCCAGTCAAGCAGTTCGTTAAACACATCAGTGAGCTATATTCTAATAACCAGCATGGGTTCTCGGAAGACTTTGAGGTACGATTTAATAATCCACCAATAAAATGTTGTTTTCCTAAAGTTAATTGTGTATTAATACTTAGGGACCGTGCAACATCTGTGTAATGCTGTCATGTCAGGTAAATGCAATGCTCAAAGGTATCAGAAGAACTAGGGAAATACCAATTTGCCACCAGATATGAGCAATGTAGGACTGGACATTTACAGATGATTCTAACCACCACAGATTTGGTGCCTTTAAGGGGAGACCCTCCTAGGTAGGTTTTTACTAAATAGGAAAAGCTGCCTGCAGTCCCCCAGGAATGACAAGAAGATACAAGCAGTCATTTTTAACTCCGGGCTTTTCTTATAATCTGCAGCTTATTTTACTCTTGTTGGCCCAGAATTTGCTCCTCTTAGTCACACTGAGAAGTCACATACCCCTTGAGTAGCCCAAAAGGAGTACAATAGTGCTCGCTATGAGTAAGAGTACTAGAACAGGTCTTTTATGAAAACCCAAACTATGGGTCAGTTCCTGGAGCCCTTGTTCACCCTCTGTTCAGCCAGGAAAGATTGCTGTTGAAGTCCTCGGTTATTTTGTTCCAGTAAAACCAAGAAGAAAGGCTTCAGGATTTAGCTGGTAGTATTTACCTAAGGTGACTAAAAGTTTGCATCTTGTTACTTGTTTAGGACAGATTCTGACCTGCAAATCTGCTATAATTGGAGATAATTCCAATGAAGTGAAAGTAGTTTTCCACCTCTGGGTTACCAAACCCTTATTGTGCAAGCATGGTAAACATCACACAGTATGAGCATGGGCTGCAGAGTGAGGCCCTAATAAGCTCAAGTCAATATTCTCTGGCTAGTTTTTAGGCATTTATTTCATTCAGTCTAATCACAGTCACTGCTGAACTTTTGAAAGTATTGAGAAGCGGGAGGAGCCCCAGGAAATTGCATGGAGCTGTGCTACTGACGTCCCCACCGGCAAAAGGAGGTGTGTTTGTGTGCTGCATGTGAACCAGAGAGGCAGCTCTGCTTACAAACAAGGCAATGAACCAAAATAGGTGGCCTAATAGCTACGGTTTCTTCGCTTACTGCAGTAAAGACAAGACTGTATGCAGGAATTGTTTTTAATGGGATCATTTAAAACATTTATTGTTGCTGTTTGGTTACTGTCTATAAAGAGTGGCTGCTTTGTCTGATGCCCAAAAACCATCGTGTAAGTTAGAAACATTTTGTATTCATGAGGAAGGCAAATGTGTAAGGTGTTAAAGTGATTTAGTTCAATTGACTGCTGGCTGGATGGCTGAGCAGGAATATTGAGGCATTTAACAATGTTGATGGTATTCAGGACAAACATTTATTCTCCAGAGAGTAGAATTTGATCAGGATGATCAAATGCAACTCACTCTTCTCAATTATTTATGAATTGCAACCCCAGTGCTATTCATCACAGCTGGGTTTTACACCATTTAATTATTCAAAATAATCAGCAACACATCTGTAAACTTGGTCTGGCTTTAAGCAGGCTTTGCTTCAGCTGTCGCAAAATCACTGCTATTAACAAATGTTGGACACCTTCCGCCTGTGTTTTAGCAAAGAAAAACACTGCTCTAATAGCCCTATTTTTTCCCTTCCTCCTGGAGCTCCCTGCTGCGCGTGCCACGCCGTGGCAGCCAGTCGGAGAGATGGCTTTGGCTAATTAGTCCTGTTCTGGGGGGCACAGGGTCCCCTCTGAAGGGAAGTTAAACTCCTCCAACTGCACTGCACACGCCAAACTCTGTTCTCCGTGCTAGCTTAAAATTTGGAGTGTCTCCTTTGAAGTCAGTATAGCTACGCCAGACGTATTTCTCCGTAGCTGAGGACTCAGCTTCCTAAAGAGTAAATGAAATCTCCTCTGAGAGTAAGGAGAAGGAATAGGAACAAGACGCTCCCTATCTGGGGTAAGCCATCCGGCTCCCTTTCATTGCTTATGTTCTGCCCTGCTGATGCCTCGTGGGCCTGATTTTCTTCCTTATGGTTCACAGTGATGGGACAGAAGAGTGAAACCCAGGTTTTTTCACAGACCCTGTAGGTAAAATGTTTCTCAAGTGCCTCAACTGACTCAGAGATCAGAATCCCAGTTTTGAAAGTGGCTGAGGGATAGAGGAGCCTGAGGTTACATTTATACAGCAGCTATTGGAAGTGGCTAGTGCTGTAACTTCTCACGTCCGGTCAGATCCAGCCATGGTGTATGTGCTGGAATTGTATCTGCCACCTAGAGTGAAGACTTAGCTAATGTTTTATAGAGGAACAGTAGGATTCCAGCTGAAACAAAATCTGGTGTTACCAGGCTGCTAGCCTTGGGTGCGTAGCCGCATCATGCTAAGTGCAGGGTGGGTGCAAGTTCATAACGCACACTCAAATTTGTTTCAAATAGGTTAGCAGGTTGCCACTGTGCCAGCAGACTTCATCTGGGACCAGATACTGTCTGCCCACACCTCTCTAACTTTCTGCCATGGGCATCTGTTACCGTTCTTGCACATAACAAAATAAAAGCAGCATGAACTTCTTGTCATGAGGTCTTGCTGCTTTAGCAGAAATAGGATTGAGTGCCAATACCCAATAGATCACATGCTGAGGGATTGGGCAGTATGCGTCAATAATGCACCTCCAACCCCTTCATGCCTGGGGAACTTCTGAAAAGAGGTATTAGGTTCTGCAGTCATATGGGCTTTTTACAAAAAAATCTGCTTTTTACATCTAAAAGGAAGAGAGAAGAGGATGGTAAGGAGATGCTGAGAAAATGTGATCAGTACTACAGAACAAATAAATCTTCCCAAAGATAGCCAGCGCATGGGATTTTTTTAAAGGAAAAAAGGATCAAAAATCTCTTCAGAAATTTCTGTGGCAGGAGGTTTTATGGTGGAACCTGTGAAAGGAAAGACTAAGCTAGGCACACACATACTCTGCCCTATGTAGAAGGTAAACATTCTCCATTCATTGCTAGTTTTTGGTATAAGTCTCTTCTTGTGTTTTTGGCAGCGTGTTCTGGGGTTGTAGCGCGTTGGTTTTTACAGGAAGAAGATTCCTTTGAAAGTAAATTGTGTGAATACTCCCTCCTCCTCTTAAAATGAGCTGTAATTACAGCTAAATATTTTGTGAATGTGCTTAGGAAGCGTTTCATGTGCAGAGGAAAAAAGGGCTTCAAACTCACAAATCTTTCCTTGGAAAGTACATCCAAAATGAATCCTTATTCCCTTTGGGTAATCATAGTGCAAGTAGTCAGCTTTATTGTCTGGTGATAGCTGGGCTTTCTTGTGTATACAGAATTGTTAAGATTTCCTTTGAGTCCTATGAATTTTCAATTTTTGATATAAACTAGAAATATAAGGCTCAATTTAATACTGAACAACAAATAGCTTTTTAAAGTAAAGTCCAGGATCCTGCATCACCAGTGCTGGTCTCTGATATAACTCTTTGTATTCCACCTTGGAATTTGTTCAACCTAATACTGAAAAAAGTTCAAGGAGGTTCTTTGGCTTGCTCTCGGGCAGCTCCAGCACCCTCTTGCTATGGCATACAGGGTGAGGTACCACATTTTTACAGGGCAGCACTGGGGTAGGGTTTGGTGGCAAGACTGAGCAGAGACTGAGAGGCTTCCTGAGCCAGAGATTATATCTATTCCTTGTCTAGCCAGAGATTTTCTTGGCATCATTATGTTTAATAGACTTTGATAGATCTTTCTTCAACAAATTTCTAATTGCCTCTTGAACCCTTCTAGACTTCTGCTGTCCAATGCATCCCATGGCAATGAATTCTACAATTTGTTCCACAAGAACGGACTTTCTTTTGCTTTTAACTCATGCCTAATAACTTCTTTTGGTGCCTCCTAGTCTTTGCATTACAAAGTACATCCCTGTTCACTTAAATGCCTCACATGATTTTGTCAGTCTCCCTCATATTCCCCCTTAATCATCTCTTTTCAAATCTGAAGAAGTCTAAACTATTTAATTTGTTTGTGTGAGGAAGCCATTCTAGACTTACGGTGACTTGTTCTCTCTATACCTTTTTTCCTTCCTTTACCATATCCTTTTCGAGATGGGAAGGCCAAAACTGTGCACAGTATTTAATCAGTGGGTTTACTGCAGAGTTCTGCGGGAGCACAGTGGTGTTTTATGTTTGGTTTTCTATTACTTTCCTCCTTCCTAACATACTATTTGTTTTTAACAACTACTGAGCACTCAGCTGACACCTCCAGAAAACTATCAGCTGTGACCCCAAGGTCTCGTCACTGAATGGCAATAGCGAATTGGGAACCTGTCAGTATGTATGTATAGTTAAGGTTGTTTTTCCCAAGTACATTGCTTTGCATTTATCAACACTGAATTTCCTTTGCCATTTTATCACTCAGTCACTCAGTATTGTGAGATTGTTCTGCTTCCTTTCATAAATGGCTTTTGTTCTAATTATCCTGAATAATTTTGTATCATAAACACACTTTGTCTCTTCTGCAGTCCTTTTATGAATAGATTAGGTCCCCATAAGGTCCCACTGGTGAAATCCGAACACTGACAATTCCTGGGTGGTGAGTCCCACCTTCAAACTGTTGGTATACAAGGCAAGTTTTCCTTTTGCTCCAAGACAGATCAGTTTTTGAAGTAATGTTTTCTGAGAGGCATTTCACAAACATTTTGGAAATCCCAATATGCTATTCTCTTCCAGACTGTTCTTACCTAGGGACTCCTTCAGGGACCTCTCCTCAGCGTGTTAGAGGCATTCACTAGCTCTGCTATTTATTACAGCGTCTAGCAGTTTGCCCCACAGAGAAGTCAGATTGAGTGGGCTGTAGTGCCTGAAATCCCTTCTGGGTCTCACTTTAAAAACTGATGTCACATTTGTCATCTTTTGTTCTCCTGATAGCCTGACTATATAGGGCAAGCACCCTCCAAATTCTTGTATCAAAAAGAGTGTGAAGTGCCACCTCCCACAGTAAAGCTTTTCACTCCCTCCCCTTGGCCGGTTACTGGAATAACACAGGAAGTTTTTTGAGTAGTCGT